TTGACAATGCATGAAGCTGGGTAGAGAGACAGTGACTGGAAGGAGACTTTATAATGAATAACCAAAATTTTGTATGGTCCATGTATTACCTATTTTTTTAAAAAAACGAACTCCCTTCCACAGTGCTACTGCCTCGGAAACCCGAGGGGTCACTATGAGTCGGATCCGACTTGACAGCAGTGAGTTTAGTTTTTCTTTTTTTTTGTGGTAAACACTGCAGGAGCAACCATTCAGACCATACATGGCCAGTGTGCAACCCTGGTCTACAGGATAAAGTTCACATTCCTCCTCCTCCCCCGCGCCCACTGCCTCTTGGCTGTCTGACTCTGACCTGCCTTCTTTCCCATTATACCCACTTATGTGCCATGTGTTTCAGCTGCATTCTCTACAACATTTTCTTTTTTTTTTTTTTTGCCTTTTCCTACTTTTGGCCCTCTGCTTTGCTATTCCTTTCTCCCATTTGTCTTGTAAGGCCAAGTTCAAACATCATGCCTCAACTCAATCCTCTGATCATTACGAACTGTTCCTTCTTCCGGCCACTCTACACAGTATCCTGTGGGAGGCAGCAGAACAGAGCAGTTCAGAGCATGGACTCAGGGGTCACACTCCTTGAATTTAAATTCTGGCTCCCCTAATTACTCTACCATGTCAGTAACTTCGGGCAGTTACTTAACCTCTCTGGGCCTCATTTCAGTTGTGGTTAGGATTAAATGGTTTACTGCACACAAAGTGTTTAGAATAGTGCCTCGTATACAGTAAATTCTCTATAAATGATAGTTCACATTGTGTAGCATGCTGCCGGAGGAGCTCTGGTAGTGTGGCGCCTGTGGCACTTGACTGCTAACCAGAAGGCTGGCGGTTCAAACCCACCAGCCACTCCTCAGAAGGAAGATGGGGCAATCTACTTCCATAGTGATACTGCCTGGGAAACCCAAGGAGGGGTCGCTATGAGTCAGGTCCGACTCGACAGCACATAACAACACAGGATGCTGCCAATGTTTCCTCATAGAACTGACATTATTTAATTTTGTCTTGTGGCGTATTCCCCAATTAGACCATGAGCTCAAGGCCAGGGCCCTGCCAGCAAGACACAGCATGCTGCTTCTTTTGGATATACTTTTCGATTTTATTTTGTTGATGTTGGGAATAAACCAAACTCACTGCCATCAAGTCAAAGCAGTATCACTACAGAAATAGATTGCCCAACCTTCTTTCCGAGGAGTGGCTGGTGGGTTTGAACCGCCAGACTGCTGGTTAGCAGTCAAGTGCCACAGGCACCACACTACCAGAGCTCCTCCGGCAGCATGCTACACAATGTGAACTATCATTTATAGAGAATTTACTGTATACGAGACACTATTCTAAACACTTTGTGTGCAGTAAACCATTTAATCCTCACCACAACTGAGATGAGGCCCAGAGAGGTTAAGTAATTTCCCCGAAGTCTGGTTAGCAGTCAAGTGCCTTAGGCACATATACCAACAGTTCCTACTTATACAATTCAATGACACTGACTACATTCTTTGAGTTGTGCAAACATTCCCACCCTCCTTTTTGGAGTTGTTCCTCCCCCATTAATATAAACTCACTGCCTGCTAAGGTTCCTACTATCTAATCTTTGGATTTGCTGTTGTCAGTTTGATCCCATACAGATAGTTCTTCAAAAAGCATAATACCCAGGGCAGCCTTTTTTTTTTTTTTGACTAATTAAGCTAAACTATTGTTTGGTTTTAAGAAGACTTTTGGGGATATTTTTGGTTTAAGGTTTAATGATTGCCTCAGTGCAATAGTTTCATGGGTCATCCAGCCTCCAAGGCTCCAGAAATTCTGGAGACCATGAGAATTTTAAACTCTGTTCTGCATTTCCTCCCCTTGATTAGGATTCTTCTATGGAATCTTCGATCAAAACGTTCAGAATGGTACCTAGGTAGCATCCAGATCTTCTGGTATCATGGCAAAGGAGGCAGTTGTTCATGGAGGCAATTAGTCACACATTCCACTTCCCCCTCCTATCCCTGACTCTCCTTCTTCTATTGCTCCAGGCAACCAGAGCCTTGGATGCCCTGGGTGGCCACAAGCAGGCTTTTAGGACCTCAGGAACTACACAGCAAACTAGGAGGTAGAACTGACATACTAAATGCGTTACTAGGTCAGTTAACTGGGATGTCCCTGAAACCAGGACCCTAAACCTCCAAACCAAGAAACCAAATCCTGTGAGGTGTTTTGTTGTACATAAGCAGCCATAACAGCTAGCCTCTCTCTATTTTTCCCCCATTGTCGTTGGTATAAATATGTCTACCACACCATTTTTGATATTTCACCTTTTTACAGGTATACAACTTATTGACAATACTTAAAATAATCAGGCTTGGCTGCTAAACAGAAGGTCAATGGTTCGAACCCACCAGCTGCTCCGCAGGAGAAAGATGTGGCAGTCAGCTTCCATAAAGACTGACAGCCTTGGAAACCCTATGAGGCAGTTCTACTCTGCTTTTAAGGTCACTATGCGTTGGCAGTGGGTTTTGGGGCAAAGTGCTTTCCAAGAATTAGCTCTTCTAATTCTCTTACTAACCCAACAAGGTAAGAAGAAATGTAGCTGAGAAAGGCTAAATAAATTGCCTCTAACACACTTTAAATCCTAGATTTTAATTTGGCTGCTCCAGCACATTGATTTTTATTTTACAAACTTCTAGAGATCAGTTTTAGTTACAGAAAAAAAATAAAACAAAAGAGATGGGGTTCCTGCCCTAAAGGATCTACTTCCAGCCTGGCAGGGGCCCAACAAGTGGCAGCGAGACCCAGAGCAGTGTGGCTGGTGCCGTGGGGAGGGGACAATGGGCTTACGTCTGAAGAGCTGGGCTCTTGTGGCGTCCTTAGCAGCACTCCCTCGGCCAGAGCCCGGTCCACAGCCTGACACACCAGCTCCTTCAGCTGCTGCTCATCCTCCAAGAGGCTCCCCCAGCTGCTATCCATCCCAGCCTGCAAAAGACGGAAAGGAGGGCCTGGTGACAGGTGGCCTGGAGCCCAGCAACCACTGAAGCTGGCTAGTGGCTGGAACCCCTCCCCCCACCTACTCCATGAAAGAAAGATGTGACAAACTGCTTCTGTAAGGAGGACAGCCTTGGAAGTCCTATGGAAAAGTTCCATTCTGTCCTACAGGGTCGCTAGGAGTCAGAATCGATTCTATAGCAACAGGTTAGGTTTTTTGGTTTCGTGGCTATCTCCAACACGGCAGGACCCTGGCTTCTGTTAGATGAGACAGGATAGTACAGAGAAATGAACACTGGCTAGTCCGTCTTAAGAATTTACATGGTGCCATAAGAAAACCTTTGAACTTGGAACTGAAGTCACTCCTGGACATCACCTTTCATCCAAATAATAGACTGGCTTATAAGAGAAACAACATCATCCATGAGTACTGTGCTCCCTTAAATAATCAACTATAAATCCATATTTACCTTAAAACAAAGAAGGTAAGGAGGGGCAGGGAAGCTAGATTAATGGAAACAGAACAACCAGAATGGAAATAAAGAGAATGATATATTGTGAAAAACGTAACCAATGTCACAGAACAATATGTATAAAAATTGTTACATGGGAACCTAATTTGCTGTGTAAACTTTTCCCTAAAACATAAGAAAATATTATTATTAATTAAAAAAAAGAACTTTCACATGTATGAAGCTGAACTCTTGATAAAATTTTTCCATTGCCACTCTTGTTTGAGTCTGAATACAATGATGACATTATTCTTACTTTAAAAGTTAGGAAATGGAGGCTTAAAGAGGTGATATGACGTGACAGAGGTAATGACTGTTAAAGTCTGGGTCTTAATCCAGGTCTCTGGACTACCAGCCCAGTGCTCTTCCTTATAGAAAGTGGCACTAATGTCCCATGTGATTGGGGTCAGTCCTTCCCATCCTAGAGCTACAGATACCCTGCCTATGAAACAAAGGGGACAGTGGTTTCCAAACCTCGCTGAGCATTCTGGGGACCTTGGGAAAGAACAGAGATTCCTGGGCCCTACCCCAGAGATTCAGATTCAAGAGCCTGGGGGAAGAGCGGTTAAACTCTGTATTTTCAGCAAGCTCTTAGGGGATGGGAACCTCGACAGCAGATTATTAATTTCCCTTCTAGCTCCTATAAACCATGCTGGTGAATCTCAAATTCCACAGGTGAAACCCAGGGGAAGCTGGCCGCTCTTTATGGAATACCATCAAGTGCTAATAACAGGGAGGTGAACTTCTTCATAGGAACCAGAAACAAGCTTACTAGCAGAAAAGACCACATTGTGTACGAACATCTCCTAAAAGACAGAAAATATTTTTGAGAAATCACATTAGAAAGACAGAATATCAGAAATTCAAGCATCAGATGTAATAGGAGGAGTCTGACTCGTGTCCCAGACCCACATACAGATGTACCAATCACACCTTGATGAATTCCACTTGCAGCAGGCCCCAGAGGTTTCAGAAGACCTTGATAAAAAACTAGAAATGCCAGTCATTAATTCTGCTCTGCCCTAATGTTATCTGAAATAGAACTTGCTGATTAGCTCGCGAAATGTCAGCAGTCCCCAAGAAAATGAGAGAACAGCAGGTAACATCTGTTACATTCAGCTCTGTCCTCTGGAAAGAGAACAGAACTGGGGGGACAAGAATTGTGAAAGTTCGCAGACCTCAGCACAATGTTTTGAAAGAATAAACATGTGATCTCAAGCGGATCCTAACAACATCCCTGTCAGGTGAGATGTAGATGATGACAGAGTCAATAAAGAAAGTGGCTCTGAATAGTCAGAAACTATTAGGTTTCAGTCCCTAATAGTATCATTTCCTTTATAAATATGGTTGCTGGATGGATTAAATGAGAAGAAATAAAAATCTGTGTGAACTTGCTCGGCACACCATCTGGAGCTCTACACATGGGAGCTTTCATTTTTTTGGCTGTGCCCACCTTACAAGCAAGCACTCAGCTGCTAACTGAAAGGTCAGCAGTTCGAACCCACCTTGAGACAAAGATGTGGCAGTCTGCTTTCATAAAGACTGACAGCCTTGGGAACCCTGTAGGGCAGCTCTACTTTGTACTTTAGGTCATTATGGGTCAGAATGGGAGTTCTGGTTAGCATAGTGGCTAAGGCACTTGACTGCTAACCAGAAGGCTGGCGGTTCGAACCCACCAGCCACTCCTCAGAAGGAAGATGAGGCAATCTACTTCTGTAGTGATACTGCCTCGGAAACCCAAGGAGGGGTCACTATGAGTCGGGTCCGACTCGAGGGCAAACAACAACAACATGGGTCAGAATCAACTTGATGGTAGAGGGGTTTGGTTAACCACTTTACAGGTGAGACGGAACTTGTCAGAGGTCACATAGCAGCCTGATGGCAGCCAAGACTAGAACTTGTGACTCAAACATTAGAGCAATGGAAGCCTCCATTAGCCTCCATCTCTCTACAACTCTGGGATTCCACCTCTGGGATTCTAACATCTCTGCCTGCTGTTGGGCTCAATGCTCAAACATTAGAGCAATGGAACCCTCCATTAGCCGCCATCTCTCTACAACTCTGGGATTCTAACATCTCTGCCTGCCGTTGGGCTTTTGTTCAGTTGCCTAAGGCATTTGACTACTAACTAGAAGGCTGGCGGTTCAATTCCACCAGCTACTCCTCGGAAGGAAAATCGGGCAATCTACTTCTGCAGTGATACTGCATTGGAAACGCAAGGAGGGATCGCTATGAGTCGGATCCGACTTGATGGCAGTGAGTCTGGTTCAGTTTTAATGCCAGGCCTCTGATCAGGTAATGGAGACACAGAGAAAGAAAAGACATAAAAATAATCACTATGGAAAGTGCTAATTGCTAGAACAGAGTAGCAATAGGAATGGAGAGAGCACTGATGGGGGCACAGTTGCCAGGGAGGGATGTGGGCCGGGTAAAGGAAGGCTTTACAGAGGTGCCAGTGTGTGAGCCAGATACCTGAAGATGAGTTCAAACTCCAGAAGTGAAGAAGAGCAGAAAGGCATTTGAGGTAGAAATATGTGTATGCAAAGGCATGGTCATCAGAAACGTGGCTGGCAGGCAGGATTCCAGGAGGCTACATGGTGAGCAGTCTTCTGGGTTTCTACTTCTTTGGCTACTCTTTCTATTCTTTAAGGTATCCCTTTTTCTAATCATCTCCTAAATATTGGGCTTCTTATGTGTTCTATAAGGAGCTCTGGTGGCGGAGTGGTTACGGCATTCAGCTACAAACCAAAGGGTCAGTGGTTGGAATCAACCCAGTTCCTCTGCAGGAGAAAAATGTGGCAGTCTGCTTCCATAAAGATTTACAGGCTCAGAAACCCTTTGGGGTGGTTCTACTCTTGTCCTACAGGGTTGCTATGAGTCTGAGTCGACTCGATGGCAGTGGGTGTGCGTCCTGTGTCCTCCCTGGGTCTGTTTTTCTCAGTCTACGTGTTCTCTATGGACACGTTCAGCCTTTCCTGTGGCTTTATTTCTGTTTTGCTGATGACATCTTCACGCCAGTCCGTTCCTAACCTTCAAACTAGAATATATCACTGTTTATCGGGAGTCTAGGAGCTCTGGTGGCATAGTACCTAAGGCATTTGACTGCTAACCAGAAGCCTGGCGGTTCAAACCCACCAGCCACTCCTCGGAAGGAAGGTTGGACAATCTACTTCCCTAGTGATACCACCTTGGAAACCCAAAGAGGGGTTGCTATGAGTCGGATACGACTCTATAGCAGTGGGCTTGGATTTTTGGTTTTTATTGGGAGTCTACACACAACCGAAAAAGAATTTGTTATTGTTTCTCCCACAAACCTGCTCCTCCACTAATGAACCCCACCCAGGCACCCAAACCTTTCACTTCTCTCTACATCCCATCCTCCCCCAAATCCTGCACATTGTATTGCCTAAATACATCCACCGAACCAAACCCACTGCCATCCAGTCCATTCAGACTCACAGCAATCCTCACTGGGTTCTTCCCGCGGAGCGACTGGTGGGTTTGAACCCCTGACCTTCTGTAGCAGCCAGATGTCTTACCCACGATACCACCAGAGTTCCTTGCTAACTGTATAGTACCTTGAATTCCTCGATTTTTCTCCATCTCCAGTCTTTCTACTCTAGCTCCGGCGACTATACAGATTCAGGCAGACATCTTCAGTGACCAGGAGACACAAGCTTCTCTCTCTCCCATCGTGCGACTGTCTCTTTTGAAGCAGTGTACACCTCACCACTCCTGACCAGCACACGATTTCGTTTCAGAAGCTCTCCCTACTCTTCTCCGCCTGAGGCTTCCACTGTCCATTAATTTTCCTTGTACCCGAGGAATCATGCTTGTCTTGATCACTTCTCCACCTCCAGGGCCTAGTACTGTACTCAATGAACGGTAAACGAATGAATGAAGAATAAATCAGAGGCTAGGGCCAGGTCAGCAAAACGCCCACAAAGAAACTCAGCCGGACTTTAACCAGTGGGCGAGGCCAGTGCCTGCATGAGGCCCGTGGCAACGACACGGTCACAAGCCCAAGCCTGCCCCATTTCACGGCCCCGATTGTTCCCACCCTAGACAAAGTTTGGTCCTGATCGCTCCCGACTACTTCTAAACCTCCGGCTCTGGTCTCACCCGCACGGTGTCACCCCCGCGACCTGGAGTCAGATCTGGAAGATGTGAGACCAACAAGCGCCAGCCCAACCCCCAAGCTGGTTATTAGTTTCCCGACCGTGCGACGGGATGGGTTTGAGCCGTTAGATTTGCCCGCCTCGGAGTTTCAATCTCTAAGCAGACCCCTCCCGCACACCCTTCCTCCCTAGGAAAGATGACCCTGGCCGGCCGCCGTTGCCGCGCCCCCACCTGCGCGTTCGTAGTCCCGCCGGGCGCCGCACTCGGACCCCTCACGCTGCAACTAGAGAATCAGGGGCGGAGCCTTGGTGCGACCTAATGCGCTTGCGCGGACTGAGGCGGGCAAAAACAATA